TGTCAGGCAGGCAAATAAAGCAAACCTCAGAGTTCCTTCTGAATGTTTGTAGCTTCTCCATGGCAGGAAATGGTGGTGGTTTGTGATCAGGGTGAGCTGTTGTGACACCGAATTCACGCTCAGATGGGCTTTCTGGTAACATGATCTTTACTTGGGCAACACCTGCATTTCTTATTTTACAAATTTGGTTGGTTATTCAAAACAGACAGTGCTGATCACTGAGTTGAAGCAACCCTTTCCATCAATTCCCCATGAAAACATTAGTTTCATATTTTACCACCTTGATCCCAGAATCCAAGTTGTCCCACACAGCTTTGTCACCGTGTTTATTAGCAAGCGATAAAACGTGTATGTTTTGTGAAAAACTCCCTTTAAACAGTGAAATTACTCACTGGGATGTAGTTGTCTTCCTTTAATTTTTTCCAACTTCTCTCCTTAGATCATTCACCTGAAAAGGTTTCAGTTCGTAAACGGCCGCTGGATAAAATCCCAGAAAATTGTCAAATTTCCCCGAGAAAATTTTGACCCAAGTGCCTTTTTGGTACAAAGGGATCCAAGTCATTTCCAAAGGAAGGCCCTGACGCTCCAGGTGGACATGGAGCCACGGAGCCTCCCAGGGGAGCCCAGGAAAACAGAGCTGCAGAGCTCTGGCACACCAGGGGAAGGAGAGACACTCAACAGGAGCCCGTCCTCCCTCAACACTACTGTCCTCAACAGTGTCAAAGGTAGGCAGTGACATGGGGACATTCCAAAATCTGAACCTTTGGGTGTTTTGGCCAAAGCTCCTCACTCACTTTGAAACATTTCTTAGTTTCTTAGTGAAGCTTTACCATAAAAAACCAAAGAAAAATAAAAAAGTTGCTCAGTGCCAACAGATACTGGCACTCGTGTAAGTGGGCTGGAATAAGAGTGAGGAATGTGCTCCTGCATAAAAGAGGTAAATTTCAGTTTCCAGGTGTGCACAAAGATAGATTTTTAATTCCATACATGACTCATTAGTTCTAATGAAAGAGTATTTTATTTTTTTATGTTTGGTTATTGAAAAAATCACTTTTTCAGAAAAAACCCAGACTGTGTGTTTACTCATCTTAGTAATCCACGTGCTTTCTGTTTTAGCATCTCCATCTCTGGGGAGGAAAGGTGGAACCAGCTGTCCCTCGAGTAAGAACAGCAGCCCAAACAGCAGCCCCAGGACTTTAGGGAGGGGCAAAGGGCGGCTGCGGCTGCCCCAGCTGGGGAAAAACAAACTGTCCAGCAGCAAAGAGAACTTGGACGCCAACAAGGAGAACGGTACCGAGCAGGAGCAGGGGGACGCCCTCACCAAGGGGCACGTGCTGGGGGGCAGCCAGAGCGAACTGTGCGGTGCCCAGGAGGGCGAGGGGCCTCTGGCCAACGGGTACCTGTGCGAGCAGAGCTCCTTCAGCAACGGGCTGAGCGCGCAGGGGGACGCCCACAGCGAGGACGACGGCGCCGACGACCAAAGAGAGGACGTGTGTGCGAACCCCATCTACAACCTTTATGCAATCTCGGTACGTGCGCCCTGCGGGGCCGGGACAGCGCCTCGGGGGGACGGGGTTGGCACCAGATGCCTCGTTGTGGTCACTGCAGTTGGGAAGGAGGACGAACTGGCACTGAGTCCAACTGAGGTGTCTCTCTGCCACGTGTTTGTTCTGCTCGAGTGTGTAAAGTTAGATCGTCGTGAGCCGTTGTCGCGCGCGGATAATGAATCTGTGAGTTGTTTCCTTGATCCAGAACTGATTCTCTTCTTCGTTTTCTTCAGTGCCATTCAGGAATTATGGGAGGGGGTCATTACGTCACTTATGCCAAAAACCCGAACAACAAGTGGTACTGCTACAATGACAGCAGCTGTAAGGTAAATCACTGCCTCTTCTAGCAAATAGTGAGTGATTTTTCTAGCAAATAATAATCTGGTTACTTATTGCCAAAGAAACTTACCTTATAGAGTCATGGAATGGTTTGGGTGGGAAGGGAGCCTAAAGCTCACCTTGATCCAACCCCCTGCCATGGCCAGGGACACCTTCCACTAGACCAGACACTTGGTGAGGGCTGTTGTTTGAAATCACGAGCATCTCAAAAGCTGCATCAGAGAAATATTAAAATTATTAACCGAAATTGTACATGAGGTTTTTTCCAAGGTGACATCTGTTCATCAGCTGCTCCCACACTTAAAGATGCTTATTTTGTGCAGAGATGGGGAAAATTACTAAAAATAGGAAGCCAAGAATATATTTTCATGATGGGAGCAGTTTGTATTAAATTAGTGAATAATTCATTTCCGATGTTTTTAAGTATTTGCATTTATCACTATAAAATATGTCAGACTTCTCCGGTAATTAATGGAGCCTGATAACAAATAAGAGAGCAAAAACATGATTTATTTTTTTTTATTTGTTACAAACAGACAGTTAAAAAGAGTTTCCAGGGCAGTCTTGTGTATTTTGAGTTCAGTGACAGTAACAGATCATCCCGTTGCGTCTCCCCGCCCGTGTGTTTTCCGTGTCCCAGGAGCTGCACCCGGATGAGATCGACACGGACTCTGCCTACATTCTGTTCTACGAGCAGCAGGGGGTGGACTATGCCCAGTTCCTGCCCAAGATCGACGGCAAGAAGATGGCAGACACGAGCAGCATGGACGAGGACTTCGAGTCCGACTACAAGAAGTACTGCGTGCTGCAGTGAGTGAGGAGGAGCTGCCCGCCGTGGGAGCAGGGGAGGGGGACACCCTGCAGGGCAGGGGACGCTGAGGGTGTCCCTGGGACGCGTCACCCACGCGTGGTTGTCGCAGCCCGTGGGCCGAAAGCACAAAAAGCACCCCCTGGTTACCCAGTTAATATCCAGTAGTATCGTTTTGTTCTGTTTTCTCACTACGCGCTCTGAACGTTTCTGATGTTGGACATCAGGCTGAGACTGCCACTGGCCTTTAAGTCTAATGGTTTGAGAAAAGCCACCCAGGACCAAATAAGAGCTAAATTAAATAGTCCAAATAAGAGCTAAACGAAGTAGTGTAGAGTTTACCAACTGTTCTAACAACCCCCCGAGGCTCTCGTTAGGTTTAAGGTAATGGGGAAAACCAATTTGTAGTGTTGTCTTTGGACAACATGATATTGCTACCTCCTTTTTCCTGCAGTTTTATTGCATTTTATTGGCAAAACAGGGAAAGCAAGAGAAGGAAAAGTGCACAAACCGAAAGAATTATCGTCAGGAGTAGGAGAAGTTTCCAGTTTTGCCACCACTGATGTGTGTCCGTTGCTTTCTTTCTGTACGTTGGGAGCACAACCCAAATCATCCTTTGAGAAGAGATTCATTTCTGCACTCGAATGGTTTGTCCTCTTGTGTTTCCTCCACGTGTTGGCCGTGCACATCCAGTGGGTTTCAGGAACGGCTTTTCTGCCTGGAGAGTGCTGGCTCAAACCTCTGAGCTGCCTCAGGCTGCAGAGAGTAGTTGTGGTTCCACTCGTGGTGTCTTAAAAGTGTGCGCGTTGCACGGAGCGTTCCCGGCGTGCGGAAGGAGAGACGCTTGAGCTTGTGTTTCATGACCGGTGTTGCTTTTTAAATTTGCACTTTTGAAAATGCGTAGAATTGAATTGAAAAACCAGAGTTTGGTTTTTGTTGTTTGTTGTCGTCGTTTGTAAGGGCTCTGGAGTGAATGGCTGTGAATTATCCACTGTGTATTTCCAAGGGAGGCGAAGCTGTGGCTGTCAGGGAGCTCTCGTAGCATTCATGGATGGAGAGTTTTTTGTTTTGTTTTGTTTCATAATTTAATAGAGTTTCTTGGTTTCAAAATTTGGTTGCCTTTTCAAATTTTCTTCTTTTTTTTTTTTTTTTAACAACAGTTTATGCAAATACTTGCAATTAAACCAGAATTGCTTTCCCTGCCCTTGCAACAGTGCTCTGTAACTCCAGGGGCCTGTTGCAGGAGGGAAGGTGTGACTGAGTCTTAGCAGAGACTGGAAAAAAAGATGGTTGTTTTTTGAGCAGGCATTTCCTTGAACATTTTCAGTGTTAAGTCGTTTGCATATCTGAATGAAGATAAAAATCTCACTCTTTTGGCCTTTTTTTTTTCCTTCAGCTGAGTTCAAGCAGCTCATTAATTTTGTCCTGTGTCATCTTCCCAGTTCTCTGGATTCTGTATCTTCACTGACAGAGCTGTGACTTACGTGGTTCCCTGAAATGAACGTTTGGATTCTTCCTGAGGGGTTTTACAAGGATGCCAAACCTTCAGTGGGTTTGTCACTCCCAGGAAGGTCTGAGCTTTATCCATGTAAGGAATGGAATCAGCTGGTCTGGCTGTTCCCTCCTTTGGAGGTTGTGCCTCTGCAGGGGCAGATCTGTTCCAAAAATGGGTATTGTCTTACCTGTCAGGTGTTGCTCCTTATCCTCTCTGGTCTTTTATCTTTCAAGTGGTCTAAACATTGAGCCTGAAGAAAAGCAAACATGACTTGGGAATTTCTAGGGTAGAAGCTTTTTCAATACCCACTTGTCTGCTCCTCCCTCAGCAAACTCCATGAAAAGTGAAAGATTTTCAACTGATTTACTTTAAAATGTTTTATTTAAGCAGGTAGCACAATCTACTAATGTTATTTGATCTTCTGTGTTTGTTACATTGGTTGTAATTAATTTTTTAAATTAAATTAATTCATAAATTAGTAGTAAATTTATTAAGTTAACTATTAACTACATTCACTTTGTAAATTATTGTATAAAAACTTATTGACAATGCACTGACTTTAGAAAGATGTTAATGTACATAAATACCTTGTAAATAAAATAGTGTTGATGTACTGGAATATGAGCTGTATTAAAACAAAGGTATTGGTAATTGTATATGGAGTGAACCTGTTTATCTGTAACTATATTATTCAAACAAATTAAATACTGTGGATGCAGATGAAGTGTCACTTCTTGTCAGATAATTTTTAATAACTCTTTTCCTGCTTTGAAGTGTCTGTGCTGTTTTCATTCAGCTTAAATGTGTTTGTCAATCCAAAAAACAGGAACGTGGGAATGAGCATCCAGCAATTCTTTATTGCTTACCAGAGGTGAGTTGGGTCCTTTCTCAGTGGAGTCCCTTGTTCAGTGTTGCTGTGGACAGTAAGTGTGGTTATTATTTGGAAACAGTCCTTTTCCAAGGTGGAAGGAGCCCTCAGGTCCGTGAGGTTTGGCTCTCCTGTCTCTGGAAGGAGGAGCTGCAGGTCCTCCATGGACAGTCCTGGGGCCTGACGTGTTCCTGCTGCTGCTTCTCCCAGTTTCTTGCTTGTGGATGGTGCTGAGACATTTCCTCTGAGCAGACACTGCCTGGGAGAGCTTGAACTGCAATTACAGTTGTGCTTTTCTCCAAAAAGGAAGAGAATCTGGTGGATTCTGGAAACTGGACCCAAGTCCAGGGTGAGCTGTGCCAGGAGACACAGGTAGTGGAGGTTCTTTGCTTTTGAGTGTTTCCAAAGACACTGTTGAGCTGGACATGAACAACTGTTCTTATTTTATGGCCCTTCAAGGTGCTAAATGGATATTTATCCCAGGATTAGCAGACATCAGGATCATCACCAGGATGATCCAGAGGAACTGGTGTCCGTGGAAGTGAGGCCCTCTCTTGCTGTGTTTGGAGTGCTGGTGCAGCACTAAGTGATGACTCGAGCTGGGCTCAGTTGCCTTTACTGCCTGGGGTCATTCCTCACCAGTGTGACCAGCCCACAGTGTCACTGGAGTCACTGGGGCATTTTCAATATTGGAATTTGAATTTCAGTGAAAGAATTACGGTCTCTAGTTGTTCCTATTGTGCATTTCCTCTCTTAAGGCTTTGAGGTATTGGAAGTGCAGTTTAAAAAGATTAAAAATTCTAATTACCAGAGATGTTCATGTGTGCTGTTGTCAGTGGTAAAGCTTTTATTGATTCAGAAGTGTAGGAAGGGCCATTAAATAGATGCAGGGATCATATCCCTGCCAAAACCTGCAGCCATTTTCTGCTGCTGAATCCCTTTTCCTTCCCAGATCAGAACTGTGCAGTGTCAGACAAGGACTCTAAAATTAGCAGAGCCCATTTTGTGAGATGGGAGGGATGTGAAATGAGCTGTGCTGGAGTTTTCCCCTCATACCTTTTCGGTGCTGGAAGTGCCTGTGCTACACTTGAGGGTGGTTGGTCAGCCTTCCTTCAGACCTGCACCCACCAGCTGTGCCTTCTGATCCCTCTCCTGGGAGGGAGGGGAAAGATGGAGCGGGGAAAGCATCTTATTTCCCGTGGTGTGACAGGAGGGACAGATGCACCAACTCCTGAGGGTGCCCTGCTGCCAAAGGAGTGCCCACTGTCCCTTCCCTGCAGGCTGACAGTCCCAACTCCAACTTCCCGTCTCCATCCAACTCTTGGATCTGCTGTGGAGCCACTGTTGTGGCTGGAGTGCACCCCCTGCTCCCTGCCCTCCCACAGGAGGCTGTGTCCCTGCTTTTCCCTGTTTCTAAATATCTGGATATCATGGATTTATCCCTTATCTGCCATCAGGGCCCTCAAGTGCCCCGAGAACGTGCCGGGCTGCGGCCACTGGCCCAGGGCCCCGGAGCATCCGCAAAGGTATTAATTATACCTTTTGTTACACTTGTTCCCCCAGGTGCAGTAAATTGGAGCAAGAAGTGAGTGAAATGCAGCCATCCATGCCTGCTGATTTATCACTTCAGGAAAATAAAACCCTCTCAGAAGCTCGGGAGATTGTGCCTTTTGTTTGGGCCAGGCCTCCGACTTCCTTGATCGCGCGTAAAAGATTTCCTGTTTGTGAGAATGGAAAGAGGTCCTTTAAACCAAATGAGACACAAATGAGAAAATATGGTAAGGATGCTCCCGGATTTGATATAAATTAAATTTTCTGAGCATGTTTGCAGAATCTGAAAGTCCTGCTCGTGGTAGCTGCTCACTTCAGGAGTCTTAGGAGCTCGCAAAAACTAAAACATACGGGTGACATTCTGACTGGTTTATGAAACAGGCACACAGACTTTTTGGGTTTAAATAATAGTTTTCCTGGAGACAGACTTCAGCATTTCCCTAGTTTTTGCAGTGTAGACCTTTTATCTGGGGTAAAAAGCCCAGCAGGGTCTGAGGAGGGAAAACTGAGCAGGACGTCGAGGTGTCTGTAGGACATGTGGAGCTGTTCCTATAAAGGCAGAGCTGAGAGGACAGTGGGAAATCAAGCTTAGTCCTTTATTTAGATTGCACAAAAAATGACCTCAAGACTGAAAATCACAAGGAGAATTTCTGCTGATTTGTTACATTTCAGTTGTTCAGCCACTGGTGGCTGGAAGCTTTCGGAGCTGGTGTGGTTGGTGGTGATGCCCCTGGAAAAGGCACAGGAATAAAACCAAGCCAGGCTGCTTTCCCGTGTTTATTCCAGCTTGTGAGAATGCAAGAGGCACCAGAAGCAGGTATGGATGCTCATTTTGAGACTAAAACAAGATAAATATACCAGTAGGAATAGAACATGCATTTGTACAAAAGCCCATCCAGTGGCTTCCCCCTGCTAATTGTGAGAGTAGAAAACAAATGAGGAAAAATAATGGCAAAATACAGCTTTTATTTTGATTTAGGGTCATTCCAGACAACTCTTGAGCAGTTACCCGGTGACTGATCCTCACCTTCTAACTTTTAACAGTGCATTTAAAAGTGCTGAGGAGGGCACAGATGTCCCCAGGTGGGTCACAAGCTGCTGGGGGGGATCGGAGTTCGTGCACTCCCATCCCCTGCAAGAAAAATAAACAGAGCAGCAGATGCTTGAGAGCCTTTGTTCCAGTGTTTGTGTGATCTGACAATACAGGACTCCCTGTACTTGGATATTATTTATCTCGGTGCTGCTGGAAGTTTTTTTCAGCATTAGACTTTTATTGGGTGCAAAGTCCGACCAGGCTGGCTGGGGGAGCTCTGCTGTGTGGGGACTGTGCTGAGCATTTGGGAAGTGTTGTCTCAGTCTGTTGTTCCTCAGCTCTGTGTAACAGGCTAAAATCCCACGTTCTTCCCTGATCCAGAGTTTGGGAAGCACAGGGAGCTCCTTGGGAAGGGGGCCTTACCAAGGCAGACTCTGTTTTATCTCATGACAGGAACAGAGACATTTCCCTTTTACTCAAATCAAAGGGATGGAGGGGGTTTTATACTTTGTCTTGTCCACAGACTGTAACATTGACTTAATAGAAATGAAATCATAGCACAGGGTATTATTTGGCATAGAACTATTGAATCATAAAATAATTTGGGTTGGAATGAGCTGATCCAGTCCAGCCTTCTGCTCAGAGCACTGTCCTCACTGAATTACAGCACATCCTAATGCTGCAGATAATGGTGATTTAAAAAAAAAACTACGTAGATTTTGTAAATTAGGGAAAAAAAAGATATTTTCATTTCTGAAATATCTTCTTTTTACTTTGGTTTGTCATTATTCTGTCACAGTCAGGTCATCTCACTTAGACTTTCAGATCTTGCCTGCAAATGCAGAGCTGTGATTTCCAGCTTCTTACTGACTCTTCTCCAGCTTCTTATTGCCTCAAAATATATTGTTTTTACACTATTAGTTGGATGTTTTGGTCAAACTGAGGTAGAAGAAAGGATCTAGATTGACAAATGAATTGGAACAGTGGTGGATTACGTGCTATCTGTGTTTGGAGGCAATGAAATAGTTTGAGGCAACAGGTTTAGCTCAGTCTTAAAACGAGGGAGAAGTTTGGCCAGGTATTGCTGCAGCTCTGGGTGATCTTGGTTTAAATTTGCTGAGATATGATATAGAAAGCACAGTATTAACCTAAAACTTTCAAACTCAGAAGGGTTGAACTGGCTGAGTTTTTGAGCTCTGTGGTTCAGATGTTCTTGCAGCAGTTTAAATCCTGGCTCAGGGCTTTGTTGAGACGCTGGAGGTTTCTGTTGTGAACCACCACCAAGCAGAACAGAAAGCTCGATGGATTCTTTTGTTACATGATGTTTTCCTTCTGATATGGAATAAAACCCCTTTGGAGCTCTCTAAATCAAAGCCATTCGTGTTGTATCAGAACATTTCTTCCAGGGGCAGGAAAGGATTCCACACAGGAAGGCCCCAGTGATGCACGCGGCTCGTTAGCACACGCTCCCGTCGATGACCTCGCTCGCGATGGTAGAGGTTTGTTTGCCATGTGCTCGTGCCTTTTTATCTCCAGTTTTGATTATAAAAATGTTCCTGTTTAAAAGACCCACGCCAGGGAATAAATCTCTGGGCCCAACAGCCCCTTTGAGCACGGGCAGCCCCAGCATTTAACTTGTAACAAAGAGACTTTTGGTGGAAGCTTTTTGATAAAAAGTTGGCAGCATATCAGAGGAGCAGTTTGGCCATGAGATATGAACAAGGATGTCACTCTGGATGTTTTAACTTCTTACCTTTCCTTCCAATTATTTTTTTTAAATGATTATGAATGAATTATAAACCAGAAGATGATTACTTTCAGTGTGGGTGTTTCCAAATAGTGCCTCAATTAAAGAAGCCAGTCTGTTTTGCTTTTAACATAATCCAGAGATCTGGCAGCCCAATGAGATACTGCCGTAAACCAGCAGCAGTTTAAAGGAGTAAGAATTCAGAGTGACCTGAAGAATAATTAGCTTTTAGCACAAAATCTGTCAGGATAAGGAGCTTGGACTGTTGTTTAACTTATTTGATTTAACTGGGACCAAAGCACTGGTTGCCTTCCCTCTCATGTGAGTGGCAGGTGGTGGAAAACAGCAGAAGACAAGGTGAGGGTGAAGAAGGGTAGAGTTCAAATAAATAAATAAAGTATATTAAGAGCTGATTAAAGGAAGGATAGGACACAGATGCGAGCATCCCCTCTGAATAAATTTCACTCTGAGCTGGGTTTGCTCCTGCTTCCTTCAGCTGCTGGGTTGGATTGCAGGGCACAAAGCAGACACCTCCTGTACCTCAGCCTGGTGTCCCAGGCAGCACCAGCCCTTTGTCAGCCCCTGTCTGCTCAGGCAGGTTATAAATCTGTAACCTTGCACTTCACCTTTTGTGTCTTGTTTAATGACCTTTTAAAACTAAATGCAGGATGGCCGAGGGGAAGGGGATCGGCCGTGGAAAAGCTGACACGTCCGCAACCTGAGCTCTGATGGTTCTGATTGCTCCAGTCTGCTGAACAAAACTGCTTTTTCTTTGTGGGGAAGAAAATGAGGGACAAGGGGGACAGGGAAGGGTTTTCTTAGCCAGGTTCTCTGTCTGTAAAATGCAGTTACCTGCTTAAAGAAGAGGCTGCACTCGTCCAATATGGAAACAGACTTTTTACACAAATCTCTATTTCATTTTCACAAGCTGTTGTTTCAAGGGCCTCTTGCAAGAGCCACTGGAAGTGTCATCCTTCATTTCTTTTGCATAAAAAAAGATAATTTCAAGTTCTTAACAGGCTCTTCTTCTGTTTCCCACACTACTAAATTTAATATACACAGACTTGATATAAAAATATATGATAACTTTTATGTGAGTCCATTAAAGTGTATATTATCCCTAAGGAATGTCTTACTATAAAATGCTCTCCACTTGAATGAAAGGAAAACTGAAGTTTCCCACCATTTCAAACCGGGACAATAATTTATTTTGGTGATGATTGTAATGGGTATTTTGGGTCCATGTGTACAATAGTAAAACTGACACTGTTTTCTTTTGTTTATGTATTTTGCTTAAAATAAAAGATGACTCCAAAGGAAGGTATTTGAGGAAGAATGCTTGCAGAGAGGGGCCACATTTATTTTGGCTGGCTGTGCTGGGCTGTCAGCTGGACACCAACCTGCACAATTCACAGTGACCTTCAACCTGCTCCCAGCTGCCTTTACCACAACAACTTACAATGCAGAATCCCCCCCTCGCTCAGCTGACCTGGGCTGACAGTCCCTTGCAAGCTGCACCAAATACTTTCCAGTCATTTTACTGCTTCAGATTTCTCAAATAACTGGAATACCAAAAATGTGTTGTGGGCAGGTCACTTGTACTGTTTGCAGTTTGTGCACGTCCACGGTTGTGCTGTGCCCTGTCTGACTATTTCTAGTGGTTAGGCCTTAACTGAACTTTTATTTCAGAGTCTTACTATTTTTATCTTGTCTTTGCAGTGACCTGCTGGTCACTTTTTTAACAAAAGGGGAAAAAAGGAGTGAGGAGTGGGAAGACAGGAAATTGCCACCCTTTCAGGATTGGAAATAATGTCCCTGATGGCAGAGGACTCGTAGAAGTCATCAGTGATGATTAAATTCCTCTTAATAAGAACAAACAGAGCTGTCGATGGAGGACGTGCTGCAAGGAGCTTCCTATGGAAATCACCACATCCAAATCCTAACCCGGGAGTGCTCAGGGCACTGGTGCAGGAATGCTGTCTGTCCTGAAGGTCCCTTGCAGGTGAGTCTGGAGACAAGGCAGGCAGAAGGGTGGGGTGGGGAGCAGCGGGACAGGCTGTGCCCAAAACAGTCCCTTTGCCACGGGTTATCCCGGGATAACTGACTGCTCTCTAATGAGGGCACAGGATGTGTTAATCACTCCACTCCAGCCTTCCTGACAGGAACTTGGCAGCAGGTTCCAGCCACCCAGGCACTGAGGCTGCAGGTTTTATGGCCGTGCCCAGATGCGGTTGTGGGGCTGTTCTCCCTCATTTCCTCAGGGACGAGCAGGTTACACTCTCACTGCTGTGGGCTCTGCTGGGGACAACTGGTTTGCAAAGTAAACTGTTGCTTTCTCATGTGTTGAGGGTTTTTTTTACTCCCATCTCAGTCTTTATTCTTATTTTTTAAGCGTGTATTTAGTGTGTTTAGCCAGAAAGTTGAAAATTTCAGGCAACTCTGTGTTCTGCAGAAGTTAAACACTTACTTAGCCATTTATGTCTTAGTCAAAGGAGGGAGAAGAGCTATTGGAGGAGTTGATTCCATCTTATAGAGCTTACTGTGCATGCTCTTTTGTAAATGAGTTTAGCTCTCCAAGGTGCTTCTGCACATCCCTGGGTCCCACAGCCCTCCTGTGAACATGTGTTACCTTGTGTTGGCAAAACCAGCTGCTGGTTTCACCAACTGATCTCTCTTTCTTGAGGCTGAATCTTTCCTGGGGTCATTTGGTACTTGCTGAGAAACAGGCAGGCAGGATTTTGCTTTTTAATAAGCCTTATACGAGGCATTTATAAATCATGAAGCGTGGATTGCCTGCGGTCCCAGCAGGTCTTCCCTGTCCCGACCTCACAACAGCCCTGTGGCTGCAGCAGGAACTGCACTGGCTTTTTAAGTGTGTTTCCGTGCAATCTGAATGTTTGTGTTTTATGAGCTTTAATAGCTGTTTTTCAGCATAAATCAGCCTGGATGCATCACGTGTCCACTGCTATCCGTGGGATCTTAAACCCCAACTTCCCGTTTATGCCCTGGCGCCGCGGTAACAACAACGGGAACAATAGAAACCCCTTTCAGGGGGTTGATGTGAGTGACACCAGAGTCCTTGTCACAGTGCTTGGTAAGACACCGTGTTCCTGCCAATCAAACTGTTGTAACACCGCTGGAGCAAAGGGAGCCTTGGCGATCTCTCCGCTCACAACCTGCTTTGTGGACTGAGCTCTCTGTACACAGGGACACTCCTGGGACTGCAGCTGTCACAGCACACAGTTCCTAAAATGTTTGAGCTGAACCAGTGATCTGGAGCACTGAAATTCTCTGAGGAGATCAAATGAGTGGTGAATCCTCCCTTTTGCTTAGATGTGTTTGGCATGAAGGGCTGCACAGACAGTAGGGTACCATCAGTCACTGTGCATCTCAGCTGACAGGGCTGGAGAAACTTCAGCAGCTCCATGGTTGACTTTCTGTCTTTATCTTGCTGTTTTAAGATTTAAACTCCATCTCTTGTTTGCCTTGGGGAGGTCACTGCTGTTCTCCCAGGGGTACTCCCAGGTTCAGCAGTCACTGCCGGGTTCCAGGACATAAACCATCATGTTTTACTGCATGTAAGAAAGCATTTTGTGCAATGCTGAGAGCTTCATGTGCCACAAACTCAAATGATTGCAGGTTTGCAAAGATACTGCATTCTTGATAGGAAATGTCTATGATTTATTTAGAATTTAATCTCAACATCAGCACAATCAGCAAAATGTAAAACTTCTGCCTTTCTTTGTCTCTCATATAAATTCTTCATAACTACCCATGTCTGCAAACTAATCCATCAAGATCTTTCTCTTACGTGCTGGGAACAACGAGCAGTCTTGGTAATGTGGGAAGGGAATGGGTGTTGACATTATGAAGGTAATTTCAGTCGATGAAAAACAATATAGTTTTGAGAGGTAATAAAAAGAAAGGGCATGGAGAAGTTTAGCTAGAGATAGCTAGGAGATGGATTACGGGAAAACAAAACCCATGGTCATTAAAACAGTATCAGCTGTTCAGATTTCTTTTTACATCCAAACAGCGTTTGACTACTGGATGTCTAAATCACTTCAGAAGATATTAATAGGTAAAAGATAATAAAATAACCCAAATTGATTATGATCTTATACCGTTTACGATATAACTTTAAATGCAAATTGCGTTCAACTGCAAGAAGGGAAATGATGTCCCAAAGGCATTTCAATTAATTGCTGTAGTTAATTACACTCATAATTTTACTTGTGTGACTAATTATAATCAGGTTTTATCGGTGTATATGGATTTATTTCTGATGCTAAAAGCCTCAAACAGCGGGTTATTTTTAGGAAATACATTTAAACTTCATAATGGAAACTGCATGTTCCCATTCTCAGCAGTTGGCTGGAATGAGCTGTGTCTGTTCAGGAGGAGTTTGGAGGGGATCAGGAAGGGAACGTGCTGAGGAGGGTCTGGGGAGGTCACTGTGGTACTGCTGCTCCATTGCTCACTCTCCCAGTTTCTTTGATCGCTTTTTATCCTGTGTTGGGCACCAGAGTCCTCGATGGTGGCCCCGAGGTCACCAGAGGGACTGGAATTTTGCTGGAAAGGCACTGGAAGTGCCACCTCTGTTCCCTGCAGCTGCTTGTGAGACACTTTATGGGGGCTCCTCAAGCAGCCAAAGCAGCGCTGCTTTTGGGGGTGATGCCTGTGGATTTTTAGGATTTTTAGCTTTTCGTAGATTTTAGAAGTAGTTGTGTAGTAAACGTAGATTTTAATGTAACTGTATAATCTGTCACACTTTATAACAGTAGCTTACACATACCCAACCCTATGACCCCATTTCATATCGAACTTCCTAGATTCTTTTAGTTTGTTTAGGCTTCTCTCAAGGCAGGCCTTCATTCTGTTTAAGACCATTTGCACCCCAGGCCTCTACAACAAAATATACCCTAGTCAAGTCAACCTTCAAATACCTTTTTTTGAGATGCAGTGTTTGCCACAGTGTCTCTACCACCTGAACCCTGGGATACAACCCCTGCTTCGTGGTGGGGTGTTTATTCCCTGGGATGGGGCCCCGGGGTGAAGGAGCTCCCCTCAGCCTGAAGGGGACCCTCAGGAAATGGCGGCCAGCAAAGCTAAAGCTTTGGGGGGTGCCCAACCCCGAGCCTGCCACCCCTGCTGTGCCCAGAGAGAATTTTTGCCTTTCCTTCCCTTCTTTTCATATTTTTCCTGACTTTTTTTCCCAGCTTTCTTTTCCCCTCGGTTCGTGTTTCTGTGGCAGGGCCTGGCACCAGTGCCCGGCTCTGTCATGGCCACTGTGGCCCCCTCAGAGCCCGACCTGGCCCCGTGGCCTCTGGAGGTGAGTCCGTCCTGTCCCTGGGGAGACAACAAACAGGGAAATAACTCCGGGAAAAACATGGAGCACAGAGATGTGCCAGGTGGAGCAGTATCCCGAGCACAGGGTGCCTCAGTCCTGGCTGCTTCCCCACGGGTGCAATCCTCTCAGGCTGGAGCAGATGTTTTACAGGGCTCTGTAAGCAGCACAAGACACGTGGTGTGAGTGAGGGGGGTTTGAGACATTTCTTGTGGGTGAATCCCTCAGGAATGTGCCCAACCACCTCCTCCCTTGTGTCCGTGGGAGCAGCCCCTTGGGCTGGGCAGGGTGGTGGGAGGATTCCCTTTCCTCACTTGTGTCCCTTCAGTGCATCCCAGCTGGAGTTTTATTGCCTTTTCCACGGATACGCATTAATTTACCAGTAAAACCCACACTCCTTTTTTTTTTTAATGTAATTTATATGATTTTCTCCCATATGCAACGTTTTTCACAGCGACCTCTGAGTTACCAGGTCGTTTGTTTCTCTGTCATTGAATTGTTTTTAAATCCCATCTCATTTTAGTGCTTGGTGGAAGAAAATCACCAAGTCCACTTTTAACTCTCTCAAAAAGAGCATCCTGTCTCCAAGGGTAATAATTTTTCATAGAATCGTTTATAGAATAATGGAACCATTTAGGTTGGAAAAGACCTTTAAGATCATCGAGTCCAGCTATAATTTTTGTGTTTAATGTTAGCTCCTGGGCTGTATGTCCTGGGCAAGATGCAGCACCAGGCAATGGATCCCCCTGTCTCTGGATCAGAGCTGGTTGATGTTATACATGGTATTAACACATTTGTTAAACTCCAAAACCAACCTGGGAAGTTCAGTAGGCTTCTCTGTATCCTTTTTTTTCCTTTGCCTATGGGTGATTGGATGGATATTTTACATGGATTTGCTGTGTGATATCATTTTAACTGGAAGGCTGCTACTGTGCTGGCAAATGCTGTTTTTTCCTGTGAAATCCACTCCTGGATTGGCCACAAAGGAAAGGACAAAGCAAAAGGCTTTATCCTCTTCTCCCAGCAGCCACAGAAAATTAATTTTGTACAGACAAGTGCATTTTTAGCTGGTGTTTGTCAGAGGAGGAGCTGTGACTGTTCAATGGAGGCGCCAAGTTTGTCAGAATTCTTTGTGGATAATGTAAATATATTTGTTGTGAGTAGTGGTTTGGTTTCCTTGTCTCTTTCTGCTTCCTGAGAAAATGTTTTGCTGAAAACATATTGTATTAAGAAGTTTTGTTTTGTGCCTGCCCCTCCTGTCACCCCCTGCTCCTGATGTTTGCGAAGGAGCGACGCTGGGCTTGTGTTCATGTGGGAGAGCTGCTCCTTCACCTCTCACACCTCCGGAGGGTGCACTCAAGTCAAGGTCTGATCTGGGAAAGAGCTTTTTGGATGTGTTGTACAAAGCCATGTAATCTCAGCTCGGAGTGTTTTTAGGAACAGGGAGGATCTGCTGATCTGGTGAGTCCCCAGTTGCTGTTCAGCGCATGAATGGGCTCTGCCGTGGCAGCAGTTCCAGCTCTAAACCAAAGTCCAAGCTGCTTCCAAAGGACAGAGCTCTGGTAAGCAAAGCTACGTCCACACTTTGATAATCTCCCAGATGTTTTGGTCTTTGCCCTCTTGAGCACCATCACTTCATACATCTGGTTTCCTGCAACCCAAATGCTGCTCTACCTCCCGCTTGATCTGGATCAGCAGAGCCTCTGCTTGTCTCTGTTTTAAACCCCAGACTTTCATCTCTAGTGAATTTTAATTTCCAGTGTAGTTTCATTTTCTCTTGGACTCCAGTTTTCAGCCCCAGAAGACAAACAGTCATCTAGTCTGGCTCCCACAGATGTGAAATGTGTTAGTGAATGTCTCTGCTAACTTTTCTGTACGTGGGAAAATAATGTTCTTTCTGGGTCCTTCTAAATCCTTTTGTTCTTTCCCCCACCCTTTCCTGTATTATCATGGCTTGGCCACTTGTCCTTCAGGAGTTACTCTCGTTTCCTAGTGTCTTCACAATATAAGAAGTTTCATGCCAAACACAGCATGGACAAAATTCCTGACAATCAGCACCTGAGGCTACCTGTGGAACAGCAAATTACTTTTCCATAACCATCTTCACAAAGGCAATTCAAACGTCCCACTTGAAGCCTTCCTGTCTTTTACTGCATTTTAAATGCACTGTATTTATTCAGTGCATCAATACTGGTCCTGTCATTGTCACACCCTGTCCCAGAACAGAACGTGTCACCTGAGTGCAAAGAGGAGACTCTGCCACGGGACAGACTGAGCTCAATCACTGTCCCAGGTACAGACTGGAGCATTTCCCTTTTCCTCATTGCCACAGCACTGAGTCACTCAGTAAAATTGTGATACTTGTCTAATCAGGTTTTATTCATGCTGAGGTTGGTGCAGGAGAGGACTTAGAGAGGACTAACCCTCTTCTCAGCAGATTTTTGTCTTTCTCTTAGTTCTAATATATTTCATAGTAAATAAGTTCCTCCCACGTTGTAATTAATGGCTGTAAATGCTTCTCTCTATCTCCATGATAAAACTGAGGCACAGCCTAGTGAAAACTGCCCCAAGTATTGCAAATCCCTGCCCCCCTTCCCCAAAAATGCAAACCCAACCCTAAACCCAGCCCTAAACCCAACCCTAAATATTGTGAAGAAAACAGGAGAGGGGAAAAAAAAAAGTCACATTCCTGTTCTGAAAGAGTGTTTGTAGATTCCCCTTCAGCAAGGACAAAAGAAATAAAAACTCAAACCAATTCAAATATAGGTCTCTTTCAACTTTAATATTTTGTTTATGTTTGCTCCTCAAAAGTCTTTCAGTTACATAAAAATACAGTTTAAGTATTAATCATTCTTTTAAACATTAAATAGGTGGATTTGCTTTCCCATGTGTGTTTTTAAAGCTTATATTATTGATTGATAAATATGAAAATAGTTCCCCCTCCCCCTGTTTTTTCTCCTTTGGTGAGCTGTGGTTACTCTCACTGCCAGGATTTTCCTGAAAATGGCCATATGACTGTAGTATAAAGTCATCCCTGCAAACACTGCCTTAAAGAAAAAAAATACAAGTCTGCTAATGTGAAATCCTGTTTTGGTGTGGCCAAAATCTAAAATTCTAAAAGAAGCTGTAACGTGTTATAACATGAGGAAACCCCTATCACCAATATCTTTTCTGTAAGTAATTGGGTGAGATCTGAAGGTGTCAGTTCAAATCACAATCTTCTTGGAAAAACTGTGAGTCTTTACCTCACGTGAATATTGCAGGTATGTTATTATTAAAAATTATATATATATATATATAAAAGAAATATATCTTGAGCTGTCCCATTTTATTAGGCAGATAAAAACTATAAAGGATCGTCAGAGTCCCGTGCTTCAAATGCAGCCCTCCAAAGAGAGGGAATTTCCACAGATGCGCCCCTGGTCCGTGGGGATGAGCTTCCCCGTTTCTCTGTGGCACATCATATTGACCCTGGCATCCCAGAGAAGGGATGAATAAATAAGAGAGAAACCCGAAAGCCAGAATCAGGAGATCAGGTGAAAGGAATCCAGTGTCCTGAGCTAAAATGGATTCAGATCCTCAGGAGGAAGAAGGGGGGTTTTTTGTTAGATGAGGTTTGTCACATACCCTTCCCTAGAGGGGGTGACCCAGATGTTGCTCCACTGTGTGTGAGCATTTTTTTCTTTGCTCTGTGTTGTACCTTCAGGTAGGACAGTTTGGGATTATAGGAATGACTGCCAGGTTTGCAGTGTTGAGTGTAAACATACTCCAAATAAACCCCTTCACAGGCACTTAAGAACAGATTCCTCTTGAAGGTCCTCTGTACAGCTTGTCAAGTGTCCTTCCAGTGGTGTGTTAAAACTACAGGTTTGCAGATAATCCGTCCTAATCCATCCTAATGTTTCCTCTAAGTGTTTTGCTTTGGTTTATTTTAAAAGTGAATCTTTGCAGCTTTATCTTACAGTTCCTTTGAATTCTGGTGGTTTAGTGCAACGGGTTTTTCTGTAAGAGCAGCACAGTCCTTGGTTAATGCCTGGAGGAGGACAAGGTTACACTCTGTACTGAGATATGATTCACGAGTTGGTAATTAGAGAGGCTGCTTGATACAAAGAGCCAACAACAGCAAGAATAACAAAAAAAAAAAAAAAAAAAAAAAAAAAGAGAAAAAAAAAAGAGCAGAACATTGAATGAGGTGAGAAATGTTCACTGGGAAGGGGAGCTCAGGAAGTACGTAAGTGTGAGGAGCAGCAGCAGGAGCTTTGCCGGGGGCAGGACGATGCTGGCGCTGGACCAGGACACCTTGCGCTGGTTCAGGGGCTGGATGGGCCGGAAATTTTCAATCATGTGAGTTGAGTTCTTCCCATCAAAGTGCAGAGCTGCAAACTGAGAGAGCTGGAGGCAGGGAAGGAGAGAATAGATGGTTAAACCTTCTTTTTTCCCCGCAGGGCTCTGGGAATTGCGGTGTCTCGAACCCGCGGTTTTGAGCGGTGTGGGTGCGTTAAAGCTTGCAGGAAACACCGTGACAGGGGCCACTGCCAGAGGTCACCCACAGATGACTCCTGCCAGCCTTGGAAATCAGGGGCACTTCCTCTCTGTGTGAGCCAAATGCTTTGTTCACCTCAAGAACCTGGTCACCCCCGTCCTCCTGACGCACGCGGCCCTGTCCTTGTCCCCCACGTCACAGTGACACAAGGTAGGAGCACGAGGATTTCTGTCTTTGCTCCAAATTCCTCACAGCACCGTGTGATGCTGAGCTGTGCCTGGCTGAGCCCTGCCCTGGGACTGAGGGACTGTGAGGAAACTGTGAGCAAACTGTGAGCAAGGAGCTAAAATCCAGGTGCTGGCCCTCAGCCAGGCCGTGCAGCCTCTGGACAATCCGTGTTTTCGAGGCACTAATGATTCAATCTCCTGTTCCACTCTACAGGTCAAAAATGGGCTGCTTAAAGCTGATGCTGATAGGCTCAAAGTTTGGATTTGGAATTATTCTGTTCTGGTCTCCTGCCAGCGGGAGAAAAGCCATGAAGTTTGGGAGTGAGCGGGTGACAGCAGTGGAAGTGGTGCTGACGAAGCGCTGAGCTGGGCAATTACCTGGGGGGTTTTCTTGGCTTTCTTTTCACGTCGTCATTTCCCCTTCCTTCCCCTTTCCTGCCATTTTTCCTGAGATGATTTAATAGGGTCAATCAGCTGGCACTGGGGACTACATTTAGGCTGATGCCAAGCGAGTGTGTGTTTGGGACAGGGCAGGGGAGCAGCTGGTCGGGCTGTGGTGCTGGGGGAGTGGGCAGGCAGCCCGAGGGGCAAAGCAGACCCTCCCCTGTGACTCACCTGGGGAAGACTGAGCTCAATTGGCATCTCAAATATCGTCCAGATGACACCCTCGAAGCAGTCAGGGGTGGTGAGGGAGCCCTCATAGCGATAGTACCTCCCAAGCTCTTCCTTAGGTGGGAGAAGGGAGCTCAGTGGCAAAGGATCCATCTGTGCTGACAGCCCTGAACAAACCACAGGGAAATACTGCCTGTAACACTTGTGGCTGCAGGTTTTGTCCACATTTATCTTCAGCCCGATCCCCCCATGCACCTCCCACGTTGCACAGCTTGTGAAACCCCCGTCACAAGTGTCTTTCTTACCTTTGTATTGAATATTCTCTAGTTCATTTAGAAGAGCTGCATAATTTTTATTTTCCTCGTCAACCTGAAATGGAAACATTTTGATTCCAAATCGTGCATTTCTCAACCACGGGTTGCTTTGAATTAATTGTGGCTAAACCAGGAAAGAACCACAAGGGTAAAAACCAGCAGCAAGCAGGATGTAAAAAAGGTAGAGGAACTAAGTGCTGACAGAATGCGTGCAGAAGACAGGGAGGGTTAGGTCTTGTGTACTGCAATATTGACACAAACAATCAGTCAGCCAAATTGCTGGTAGATTTGAGATGAACAGTTAAAAATGTGACTGCCTACCTTTATAAAGAAGGCAAGCACAGCCAAACCATCCTTGTATTTCTTGGCTTCTGCTACATTTGGAACATCCTCTCTTATGTGGACAAGGTGCAGCTGTAACACAATAGCCAAGGCTCTGGTTAGTGAGCAGTGTCCTCACTTCCATATTTCCACTCTCAGGCTTCCCTAGGAGATCCAGCCAAGAGTTTTTCTGAACAGCATCTTGAAAAACCAGAGTTCTGGAGTAAAATGCATAACCCAGCACCATTCTCACCCACCTCCATGGCGTATTTCTCTCCATCTATGCTGTGCTCTGAGCCAGGGATGTACTGCTGCACTCCTGGGCTGCTTTGCTGCAGACTTGGGACCCCCCAGTGCAAATGGAATTCCACTGCCTTGTATTTTCTTGCCAGACCTCCACCTCCAACTTTCGGGGATGCATCCAGTGTTACCTTAACTGGGGGAAAAAAAAGGGAAATTGTTTTAAGGGCAAAAATCAGATCATGCATTGATAGGATGTGAGAGCAGAGATTCAGATTTATCCAAAAGTTCTGGCTTGAGTTTTCATACCAAGTGTTCCAGAAATTCAACTCTGCAGAAACTGAACTCTTACAAAATTATAGCTGAGTTTAATTTGGAATGAATTATAACCATTATGACCTCAGGAGTCAGAGCTTCTTCTACCTTTCAGAAGACCCTCTATTCCTTCATTTTTTGTCTAGGAAAAAACCCTCTATCAAAGTATTCTTGAAAGTAAATTTGATCACAGTTTATTTGGATTTAACCATTGTTTTAATCTCCTGTTATCTGCACTGTAACATTTATTTTAGGCAGGGTTTAAAGACATTCTGTTTTAATTTAGAGTAGTGCTGCAATTTAAGCCTAAGAATCTGTCATTATATCTGTTTAATGTGATGTTTGATCTGCTGTTAACAGCAAAACAAAATGTTCTTAGGAGATATTCTTCTAGTTAGACATCAGCATCACTTCCTTGATATGTTTGACATATAATTTTAAATTTTACTTATTAGGATCTCTGCATTAAACACAGCACTTTTCTCTGCATAGGGGAATTCTGGATTGCAGCCCCAGAGGAAAATTCTGGATTGCAGCCCCAGAGATTTCATTTGTGTTCTGAATTCCAAATGAACCTGGAGCTTGCATGAGTCACTTAATTCCTTTGCATTTTTATCTGTAAATGGATAAGTCACATATCTTTGTGGGCTTTGTTTATTTAGCTTGTGGGACCTTTGAGACACTGACCCTTGCTATCTGCCCATCACCGAACACAGGGATGGTTTAATCTCACCTGGAGCTTCTAATTGCAGTGGGAATTTAAGCAATAACTGTTCCAGTGCTGTACTCATTTAGCCCAGGAACTGGTTGCCCTCAGAAGGAAGAAATTTTAAACCCCTAATCCTCATGCGTGGCTGGGGAAGATGAAAGTTCTGAGCAATCCTTATAAGTATTAATTTTTGTGTAAAAGGGACTGCAAGGTGGACATTCTAGAGCACCATTCTGTAATGGCAGAGTCATTAACCCACAAAAGTCACTGCCTTTTCCTTCTGGTCTGTGACAATCCCAGTGTTTTAAACTAGAATCTCTGGCTGTTCAAATCTCCCCAGCTGCCTTCCTACCCTTCCCTTTTAGGCCAGGAGATATTTGCCACTTGCTGCTTTCTGCTTTAAGGATTTGGCAGCTCAAATAACCCATCTGAGATTTTAAGAACACCTGAAGATAATTTAAAATAAAATAGACTGCGGGTTTATTTTTAAAGCTGAAGTAATTGAACATAATTTTGTTGAAGCATCATCATAACAATTGCTCTTAGTGAAGAAAGGTGGAGGAAGTGCAACAGTTCCAAATTACTTTTCACTGATTCACTGTTTACTGAATCAATAAGTAGCTGATCAACACACTCAGGTTACCTTCTGTGTGCAGAGAGAACAGGTTTAAATCTGAGAAGATTTCAGCTCATTATTTAAAGAACTAGTAGGACTCACACACCATGAGCTACTGGTGGAATGAGTGTCCCAGGTGATGTTTTTATTTCAGCAGAATTCTTTGTGCAGAAGCAAAGTTTGCAAAGGGCAGGCCCAGAAATGAAGGGTTTAGGAGCATTCAGCAGAAAATCATCTGTCTCTGCCCAAAGGGTTGTCCTGAACCCCTCTACCCACCCACATCCTCATCCCAGGTGCTGCTGGGGTTAGAAGTTCCCTGGACAGCTCTGTTTGTGCACATCTATAGGAACCATTTCTGCTGAGACACTCAAGGGCCATGCCCAGAACCCAAAAACTTGGTAACTCCCACAAAATTCCCAGAAAGTCTTAGCTCAGACAGTGTTCTGAAAGTTTCACTTCTGAAATATAGGGCTGATATCCTGTCTGTGCTTCCTTGCTACAGGGATACCCAGCACTGTGCCCAGGACGTGGAAGGAGCAAATGCTGGTTCCAAGGCAAGGCACAGATAAATCCCACAATATTTGGCAGTACTTGCCTGTATGTCCATTATTTTCCACATTCCACTTCGAAGACCCTTTCCCATCATATCCCTCAAAAGTCAGAGGCTTGAGGCTCTTGTCATAAACGACATTTCTGGTGACAATGTTGATGGGGGACTGTCTGTCCCCGTTGCAGGCGGCGTCTGTCAGGTGCCACTGGTGAGGATCTGTGGCAGGGTGAAGGAAACAAGTTTTTTCTGTAGACAGCAAATCCCTCATAAAACCCAACCACCCAACCAATATACTCTTGCTTGGGAAACTGGAGACATCAGGGTGATCTCCTCTGGAGCTCATTTGGAGTTATTTTGAAACAAAATGAACAGTTACCCCAACCACGAATATCTTCAAAACACCCTCCCCCAGGTATCCTATTTAGCACACTTATGTGTGCATAAAGCATTAAGTGCTGAGTTGTGTGAATTTTTGCATTATTTCTCTCCAGAGCCCCTTGCAAAATGGAATAATCACAAATGTGATTGGAAAAAAATCACTTGGTCAGCTGTACCTTCACACTCTGGGTGTTCACACTTCTGGGACCGGTAACACCAGTGGCTTCCCACTAGAGAAAAAGAAATCAAACCAGCAGATGTTCAAAATTAGGTGAGTGAAAAGCTGCACAAATTGTCCCCCCCCAAAATCAGCAGTGAAATGGATCCTCAGAGAGTGATGACTGGGCACGTGTTTTTGAGAATTCCTTGGGGTTTTCTGCCCAATTTTATTCAGGTAGGATGTTTCATTTCTTAGGTAGGTAACCAAGGAGGGCTGGCAGAGGTGAGTGCTTCAGCTGCAGAGAAATCTTGAGTTGCTCAAGACTCCTTAGCAGGGTGAAGAGCACCATGCAGCAAGTCCAGCTGGGTTCTGATATCCCATAATTTAGAAGAGATCCTAAAACCCTGCAGTGGACAGCTCTGCCCTCTCTAGATCTCCTCCTGGTCTTTACTGAATCAGTTCCTACCTGGTAACATTCCCCCCAGCAACAGTTCTAGCAGGAATCATTAGGACTCTGGGTGGCTTCTAAATAATTTGATTTTCAAATCTTGGCTTCCGCAACTTCTTGAGGCAAAAGTTCCACATTTGAATACACGTAGTATTAAAATAAATTCCCTTTATCAGTTCTGCACTTGCCAGCCTTTCATAGACTTGTAAATTCACTTATGCAAGAGGACTTATTTCACTCCGTTCCAGGAACTATTCTAAAGGTTACTTGGTGCAATAGGGAATTTGAAGAAATGAAGGATCTCACTTCCTGGAAGACCTGAAGGATCTTTAGTGTAACCCAGCTGTGATCCATCCCACAGAGATGGCTGAGAATTTTTTCAGTAGAACATCTTAATTTTATTTTTTCATTGCCAGAAGAAATGCAAAGTTCAGAGGAAAAGAGCTGATTTAACTGAAGTATGTGCTGATCTAGTGAGGAAAGGAGGGACTGTTTCGGTTGTCACGGGTTCCTTCAGTGGCTCTTTATGACAATTCTAAACTTCAAAAGGACTTGGACAGGAATAGTTCTCTTAGACCATCAAACTTTAATCCATAACAATTCAAAACCTCTTATAATCATGATTAATACTAGAGCTTCTGTTTTCTCATGATTAGTGAATTATAGACATTTTAGGAAATGGCAAATCAATTTTAAGGATCATTATGGAGGGGTCCTGTCATTAGATTGGTAATTACCAGAATTTGTAATTTATAACACACCTGCTGGAAGGCTCATAGTGGCTTTTACCACCTTTATCTTGATATCAGTAGCAGAGCAATACATCCATCCATTAAGGATTTAGAAATTATAAACAGAGCCTTGACATGAAACGTGGGCAACTATAACCCAGAGGGAGACTTGGACAAGCTTGTGGCAATTAATAGAACCTTGAAAAAATGAGAGTTCCAGCTTTTCTTTCACAGAAACTAAATTTATGCAGAAAACCACAAATGATGTTGACTCACTTTCTAGTTTAGCAAGTGTTTAGTAACGCTGAGAGGAAGAGTAAACAGCACTGTTAGTTTGTGTGGGAAGAGCCGAAGGGATTTCCCTGGTGTTGTTCCATTAATGTTTTTTAATCATGCAAAAAAAATCCCTTTTGACAAGGTTTTATTTTTTGACAGACTTCTGATAGTACACAAAACTTCACTTCCTAAACTTGCTGGTTGCATTTTCCCAGGCCTGTGTGCCCCAGAGAGTGGCCTGACCTCCAGCTGAGCTCATCCCCAGCGGGACACGGCAGGACCGGGAGTTCCAGGCACAGAATGTCACCAAGTGCCTTAATCGATATTCTGATCAATAAATGCCCAAAGAATGCCAGGTAAGGAGACCTTCACATGCTTGGTTGTGTTCCATGAGTCAATGTTTGCTTGGCTGAATGACTCCAGGCATATTTTTGGCAACTCAGTGGTCAGCCCGGGCTTTAACAGTTCCACACCAGCACATCAGGATTGGGATTTTCTTGGCAATTTATACATGAGTGAACCTTTAGGAGAAAGAAAGCAGGGAATAACCTGGGCATGAGAGGACAGCCACCTGCAAAGATTTGCTCTCAAAGCCTTTGGGAGGTGAGTTAAAGCAGAGAGGAGAGTTGCCAGGTGAGAACTCAAGGTCAGGTGAGGAACCCAGGGCTGTTTACCCCAAACTCCTGGGTTTGCACAGGGCCTTGCACAATGGGAGGTGAGCAGGGCTCAGACATCAAAGCTCTACTGTGATGCAAATCGGATTTTCCAGTCAGTGGGATTCACAACTGGGAGTAAGAGCAGCCAGTTCGTTGGGGATAAGGTTGTGGAGCTTTTAAACCAGGGCTGTAGAACCACAAAAACCAAAGACAACCACAGCAAACACTGAGGGAAGGTAAAGAGAAGGTAAAGGTCACGGGATCACGTTGTCAATGGTCCTGAATCAGCACCTCAGTTTTGTGGAAATGGGTTATAGAGGCTTTTACTGCTGAGTTCACATCCCACGCTTCTCAAACAAAACAATCACTGACTTTTTACTGCCTGAACAGGTGCTGGCAAGTTCTCTCAAATAAACCTCAATCACTTCTGAGTAGACTGACACCAGCCCTGAAAGGCTTTCAGTCATGGCACCAAGATGAAGGGGAGAAAAAAGATTTTAAAAATAAAATGAAATTTAAAAAATCCAGCCCTCGGTGGCTACAGCTGCCTCATGTCCAGCACTCAGCAGTGTTCATCCCTTCTTCTGTTGAACCCTAACTAATAATTAGTGTCTGAGTTTTGCAAGGGTTCCAGTGAGTTCCTGGTGTCTATGAACAAAGACAGGATCTGTGTTTTCTATCAAGTCCTTATCTCAGTTGTGGTTTAGAGAGGTGGATGGTATCAGTGAAGTAGAACAGGATATAAATTCAGCATTTCATAAGAAAAAGGTCCTTAAAGCTGTTAAACCTTAAACAATGACCTAATTAAACATTCCAGAACGCCTGAGCAAACAGTGAATTAATGTTTATTGTGAATTAGATACATTTTTGGTTGGCAGCAATGGAACACTGGAGAACAGGACCTTTTGTGTAGATACTGCTCAGGAGGAACCTTCCCCAGTGTCACTTACAAGGAAAATTTGCCTTTTGGATTTTATCTGAGTCAGGTGTGATTCCTCCCTACGTGTGGGGACCTTATGTGACAATAGTTCTTTTTTTCCCCTGAGCTTTAGGGCTTTATTTCTGAAGCAAGAAGGAAAGATACTTGTCACATCCAGTCAGTTGTCTGTGGTCTTAGGCATGATTAGGCCCTAAGGTATGTTGTCTAGTCTGGTCTTAATTGTCTGAGTGGCTCCTGCCACTTCCCTTAGGAGGCTGTTCCACAGTCTATTAGCCATCACCATCAGGAAATGTTTCCTGTGGAACAGCTTACGTTTTCCACTTGCTTATCTGCATCCCTTCACTCCTAGAAATATCACTGAACCACCCTAAACAATTCTTTTCCCTCCCTGGTGTTTACAGCGTTCAAGTAGTTCCCTGCTAATCTGTAATTCCTGTTCTTGCTTCATCCATCCTTTGTCCCATCTCTTGACACTATTTCAACTTCCAGATCCTTCATCCCTCTTTGTCTGACCCCCCTTTCTTACAGGGCCTGGGTACCTGTCAGATCCCACCCTGCTCTCCTCTCACCTGACTGCTCTTTCAGTCAAACCTCCTCAGCTCACCCAGTTTCTTTCCTGTCATTTATTTTGTTGCCTGGAGAAATGCAGCACAAAGTGGGTCTTTCAGTGTTTCAGTGTTTATTTTCTGTTTCTTTGTTTTTAAAGCTGAGGTGCTGAAATAATTACAGTGATATATATATATATATATATACACACACACACACCTGGACCTACAGTTACTGTATTATCAACTATATTTTGCTTTTACCTTGTGTTACGAATCCTTGATTTAAGTAGTGATGTACCACACCATAGTTGTCACATTGACTTTACAGGTTTAATTTAGAGTAGGGCTGAACTGTGCTGAAGGCCTCCTCTTCCTCCCCAGAGTTCAGGACAGTTAAATTTAGGGAGTCTCTCCTGGCAAGCGAGCAATCCTACTTATCTCTGTTTCTTCCTTGTCAAACTTACAACTGGTTTCCTGACCAAAGCCGTTTTCTTGGCACAGGGAATAGCTGGAAAACAATACAATTACGTATTGTTTTCATTTCATTGTAAACGTTTTCAATTGTTTTAGCTATCAGGCCTCGTTTGGAAGCTCCAGGCAGAAAATTCCCCCCGTCGAGAACTCCCTCTTCTGTTCAGCCGGGCAGGCGGACGGACAGCGCTGCTGGCTGGGAGCCAGGCTGGGAGCAGCTGCCAAGCCGCTATTGTGTGATCTAGGAAAAGACCCTTAAGCTCTTTGGACCGTGCTCAGATTGCCTGAATTCCATAAAAGTTCCTAAATCTACTTTGTCCTACTTGTTGCCTGTTTGCTGCCCTACTTGGACCCACGGAGCCCGATCTCGGAGTCAGTGCCATGGGACAGGTGTGTTCTGGGGGCTCAAAATGCCCTCTTAACTTGTTCACATGCACAAAAGACTCACTAGAACAGGTCTTGTCCCTCTGACAAAGTGGCTGAAAGTCATGAATTTTACATTTGACAGCTATTTTTATTAACTGGATTTAATCTCTTGAAGCGCGAATGACTTTTATGTCGCGAGCAGCCTGAAGGAGTGGGACAGCAAGAATATCCTGTGCTGCTCTTTAGTTCAAATCCCTTCTCCCTTTCACTGACTGACTCCTTTGTTTGTCCCTTTAGCCTCTTGTCACCCTTTCAGCCACGTCCTGGCTGACCATTCCCTGTTCTCTGGGACACACGGCTCAGTGCTCCCGCTGCACTGCTCCCTTTCAGAGAGCCCAGGCTGCCCTCGGTGCCAGGGCTCTCCTTACTGCTCTATAATCCAGTTTTCAAATCCATCCCAAAACCTGCTGTCACCTCTGCAGCCTTTTCCATGGAAGTGGCAAAAGCTGGTTTTGCACGTGATGTATTTTTAGCTTTGGTTTGTGTTGAGCTCGTCCTAATTTTAGCTGGCTTTGTAAAACTTACTATTTTTAGGACAAAAGACAAAACAACTTAAAAGCAGTTGTTATCTGTCTTTGTAATTAATGAGAATGCTGACCACAAGCTCAGCATGTATAGATAAGCCTATTTATACATTCTTAAGTGTTACACATCCTCAGGAAGCCCCACTCAGCCACTTTGACAGACAAAATCAGTTCCAAGTGCTTACTCCTAAATTTGTGTATCCTAACCGTGTAAAAACAAGTGTTTGTCATCATCCATCGCTCTTCTCTTCACTTTTACCTGGAATTCTGTTTTTTATAACAATATACACCTTTATGCATGTACATTCCAAGGTATTTAAAGGGGATTTAGCCTTGAAAAAGGGCTTTATTGGAGTGGTGAAACATTACAAGTCACCACATCTGATTTGAGCACAGTGTTTATAGTTTGCACGTGTACACATAAATCACATGTACACATAAATCACTGGCTCAGTGAGGTCTTTGTAACACACATAAACTAAAGCAAAAACCCAGAGGGTGAAGGATTCTAACTGTGCCTTATTAACATCTGCAAACCACTTCCTTTGTGTCAGAGCCAGGAGAACGTTTTTAGCTGTGACCTGTGATACTGGGGTAGCCTCTGTCATAGATCTGTGTCCTCATAAATGTGCTGTACAAAGACAGAAGCTGATCTTTAACAAAAAAAAGGAGTATCCAGGGCTAAGGTGATTTGCCTCTGTGAGAGATTTTGCCTTGCTTTGTTTCATAAAAATACAATTCAGAATTTTTCTGAAGTATTTCTAAAATCAAATTCAAACAACCCCCTTTGTGGCTTTGCTGTCCTTTTGCAGTCTTTTATGCTGAGTTTATAATGACTGATCTTATGGCTAAAAATATAACTAAAAATCTAATAACAGGCCATTAGATATATTCTGCAACATAACAAAGCATCTCCTGCAGTGCCAAAAACAGGGGAAAAAAAGCCTGTTCCTGTGGAGACAGACACTGGACTTTGCAGCATGTCCTGAACACCTAAAGGCTCTTGCTGGTTATTTGGGCAGCTGAGAAAAAAGTGTCTCACAGCAGCACCTGTCTCTGAAAATGCTTTTCTGATTCCAATCTTCAAGATCTCAGTGTAAGAGCCAGGAGAAAAGGTGGCTCCAGTTTTCTTAAGAGTCACAGTGCCCAGCTGGGGATGTTCCAGTCCTTATGCTGCTATTTTTGCTGTAGGAGAAAGGAGAGCATTTATTTCTTAAGCTGGGGTCATGTCACTTGTCACCTGGGTGTGGCTGCTGTGTGGGGCTTCTGCCACGCTCCTGTCCTTCCCCCAGAGCTGAAGGGCAGCAGGACAGAGCCCTGGAATCTTGGATGCTGGTGGAGGAGGAGGTGATGCAGCACACTGCAGTCCTGCATGAGGTCAGCTCCAGCCTGTTCACACAAATTGATGAGTCTGGAGTGTTCTCCTACTCCTCAGGCTGATCCCTAAATGCAGCATTAGTAATGTGACTGGGGCCACTGTGTCCCTGGAAAACTGCCCATTCCTGATGTGTCACCAGGAACAGGCTGCAAGGCAGGGAACAAAAAGGCTGGACTGGCAGCTGGGATGCCCTTGGATGCATCAGCTGAGTAAAAACCTGCCTGCTCAAGAGCCTTGATGCCTATTGTGGCACCTCATATTCATGTGCTGCCTCAGGATCAAACAGAGCAGGATTCACCCTCGTGTGTGAGGGTGGGGACACTGTGGGATTCATTCCTGAGGGAGGCAGCAGAGGTGGCCTTCAAACCCTTCCACGGGTAATTCTTTGAGGGCAGGTCGGGATCTGTGATGAATGTGGATCACAGCAAGACCTGTCTGCACAGCACACATCCTTCCCAACCCCATGCAGCCTGCTGGGAAGGGCTTCAAGGCTCTCCTGGTCTCACACAAAGTCAGCCAGTTGTGCAACACAGATATTTCTTGATGTCACACCTGGCAGGCTGCAGAAATGTGAGAAATCCCATATATGACCCTCCTACTGTCTCAGAACTGCTTTTTGGCATCCTGCCAGTGATACACAGGGCTGTTCTCTGCCTGCTGGGCTTGGTTCTCTGTCCCCCAAAATGAAGCTTGGGGAGTCCCTTGCTCTCAGTGCACCCCCAGCATCCTGACAAAATCCCCAGCACACAGGGGAGCTGACTGTCATGACAATCCTCAGATAAACCTTTACCTCTGTTTTGGCAGCCTGAAAGTTGCCAGGGAGGAAGAGATGAAAGCCCTAAGCATCAAGACCCTTCCTTGAGATCAGAAGTCTGTCTGCACTGAGATAGTCAAGCAGCCACTTTGGCATAATGTCAGTGATAGTTTGTCAGCTGTATTTACTCATGTGCTGGGTTAGAGTGGTGGAGAGAGGGAAATTCAGGCAATCCCTACCTCCTAAAGCACCTGTGGATCACTGCCTAAAGCAGCTATGACTTACTGCCTTTTCTCTCTGTTCCAGGTCTTGCACTGCAATTATTATTATTATTCTTTCTTAATCAACTGAAAATGCAGCTTTTCATCCCAGAGTGTGCCTTAAGTGCAGCAGCATCCCAACTTTGCCAACCCTCAAACGGATTTGGGATGCAACCATCAGTGTGTGTGCAGTCCACACCATTAGAGCTGGAAAGGGAAGAAGTTACAGCATCTCTTTTTGTGCTGTTCGTGGGGCTTTTGGGTATCTTTTGAACTTGCATGGCCCTGAGGAAGCCCCAGAGTGAGAGCTGACGTCCATATCCGCATGGTTATGTAAATTTTATGTTCCTCAAAGTTGAAAGTATGTGAGCAGAAATATAGAAAATTAGAGGAAGCATGTTCTATCAGGCAACAATCTGTTGGAGCACCAGAGCATGGACTGTGGGAGATTGTCCCCTCATGGCTGAGCCCTGCTCTGTGATAAAGTAAAAAGTTAAAATGTGCTGGGGTTCATTCCATTGCTCTTGAAGAAAATTATTTTCAGTAACACCTGGAGCTTGCTCTAACCCCACCTGAAAGCTGCTGGATGGATGGATGGATGGATGGATATTCCTGCTCTCTGAATGGTCCTGGGATGCATCCACTGTTAATAAAACCTCTCTCAAATATTGGGAACTTTCCTGCTGGAATTTGCAGACCTTTGGCCTCTCTTCTGCCCAACAGCAGCACCAGATCCCTGGGCTCTCGAAGGAATCAAACCAGCCACCTGAGGTGCAGCAGTGCAGCTGGTAAAGGAATATACTGAGACCTGTACAAGTCAGTGGATGTGAGGCTGGACAGAGCTTTAAGGGAGAGAGTTTCTCTTCCAGGTGAGGTGAGTGCACCTTTGTGCCCCGGTTTTCCTCTTGTAGAATGGGGATAATGAACTTTCCTTCCTTACAAATCCTAGAAGGGCTATTAGTAGTAATTTTAAAAGCCGGGTGCTTTGATATTAAGACAGGTCAAGGCTGAAAGCAGTTTGAAAGATTAGCAATCAGTCATTTGCCTGTTTAAGTGTGGGGAGTGATGAACTGCCCAGATTAGAACAGCCCAGGTGGAGGTGAGTTAAATGAGCTGGTCAGGGGATCTCACTCAAGCTGGTTCTGAAAAGGGGCAAGATGGAAGGGAAATGCTTGTGTTTTTTTTAAAAAGATACCTTCTGAGTGTAACAAGAAGTAATTGATTCTCAGAAGTTGAGATTTCTTGAAATGTGCAGCCTTTAACTTAGCGTAATGTATCCTGTGAAGCTTCTACTTCAGGAAAAGTTTGGAAAAGAAGGTGCAGGATCCTTTTCTGCTAATAACTGTGTAGTTTGGCTCTACACTTGGGGAAAAAAGTGGAATTAATCAGGATTAGGGCAAAAAACCACCCACAAAATGTTATATGCATCCCCTATATTACTTCCATCTGCTAAAGCATTAATTATTAACACTTATCTAATATAAAGTTACAAAGGTTTTCTAGATATCATTCAAGTTTCCGTAATACATCCCTTAACAGAGCAGCAAATTTAGCAAAGTGTTAATCAGTCAGTGGTCAACAGCAAGCAAACACTCGTTGTAGACTTTGGAAAAGCAAAAGCTGTTTGTGTTTACCTGTACCACGGGAGGGAACCTCTGGAGAGAGAACAGAACACGAGGAAATAGGGAAATAGGGACTAAAGGGAGGGAAGGTGTCGGGACTCTCAGGTAAGAGCCTGGAAAAGGCAAGTTCCTGAGTCCTGGAGAATTAATTAAGAACAGAGAAATAAAATCAGGGAAAGCCCCTCAGTTTCCCCAGTGCTCAGACTGGGCTCCTTAAGGCACTTTGGGCACCTCTGTTACCTGAAGTCTCTGAACCTTGATCTGCTTTAACAGCATCTCCCTTCAGCCGCCGTTGGTGCTTCCCCCAACACCTCTGATAACACCAGAGCTCTCTTTCCCTCCCTGCACTCTGGTCTAGTTTAGTGCAAACAATAGACCCTTCTTTGCTTTGAAGAGCTGCAGGGTTTAATTTTGGGGCTGTGTGCCTGGATGTGCATAGGAAAGGGGATTTATTCAATGTTGCAGCATCGCTGATTAAATAGAAGCATAAAAATGCCTTCTGCATTTTTCAATACTAATTATAGATCACTGTTTAATCGAGCCATGGTAAGTGCTCAGTGTACTTATGGTGCCCAGGGAGCAAAAATAGATGGGGCTGCTGGGCTGATGCAGCAAAGACATATTGTTCACTCTCCCTCAGCAGAATTTCACCTTATATCATAAACAGCAAAGCAATAGGAGTGGAAAACCAAAACAAGCTATTTGCTTTAAGTTTTAAGGAGTTTTACAGGTAAAGAAATCATGTTTCGATATAAATGCAGATGTATAATTAACTGTAGAGATCTAGTCAAACCTCATTGATTTTCCTTGGAAGAGGAAGGCAGATAAAATCTTTAAAGGTGAAAAAAAAAAACCCAAAACAACCCAAGCACTCATTCATTCATGAGAAAAGCCTATACTTGATATTTTACCCCAAATAATAAAACGCAGAGAAATAAATAAATCATTGTTCATTTACCATATGGAAGAAGCAGAGAGCCTGTGCTGTGTGTCCTGACACTCAGAAACAAATCAGAAATCAGAGTAACCTTAACACGGGGTTAGAAAGAGCAGGCAAGGACTTACCTACTGCCTCTGTCTTGAGAATGTGCAGAGAGAACAGAGCAAGGAACAGCAATTCCATTCTCTGTTTTAAACAGGCTCAGTGTTGGAACCAGAATTGATTAGACTCCTCAGGACGTGATCATATTTCTGCTCTCAGTTTTATACTGGAGTAAGTACTCCAGGACAGACCTGAAAGCCATGGCAGGAAGGTGAACTCCTCCCCTTTGTAATTTCTCCAGATTTACCCCGCTCCTGATTTGCCTAAATTTATTCATTCTCCAAAATGAATGGCAAAGGGAATGAGGCTCTTTGGCACTGAGCCTTCAGTGAATAACTGAGACTTTGCAACCTGTGCATGTTTAGTGACCTCTTGCTGAAATGCTACGTTTTTATTTAGTGGTAGTTTTTTTCCTGATAGCCCCCATGACATTTGATTACTATGTGTGTTAAAGTTGGTGTTTTCTTTAAAAAAAAAACCCTATGAAACAAACAAAGCCCCAGCTGCCCCCATCCCTACCCCACAGCCCTGCAAACAGCTCCTCAGGATTGCAGTAGATTAGAGGAACTGGAAAATGGGAATTCTGTGTGCAGTGACAGGAAATGTTTATTAGGTGACATGCAGCACCTTACTTACTTAATTAAGGAATGGTACTTTTTTTAATAATCCTTTTTCTTAATTATCTGCTTCTACTGCTATAGTATAATATGTACAGACTTTTTTTTCTGTCCCCTTTCCTATCTGTTTTTTTTAATTCCATGTGCCTGATTCAGTGGCAGCTCAGACTGTTCAACAAACACAAAAGCGACACAACCACTTTTTGCTCTGCTATAGACACTCTGTCACCTTTTCATTTGGGTTTGGATTTTGATACAGCCGAGGAAAACAAATGAGGGAGTGAAACAACTTCTTCCCCTTCCCCAGATGCTTCTCTGTCCACACTGGGTTGGGTGGGAGAAGAGCAGGATGCCCGACCCAGAGCTTCTGCCTGAAGGGGTGGATGGAGCGAAGCGATGCCATGCCAGCAGATCTGAGCATGCAGAGTCATCCAGCAAGGGCTGAATTAAAAAACGAGGAGCCAAGAAAGTGCTTTTTGCCTTCCCCAAGAGCTGCAGCTCCCAGAGCAAGGCTGTGCTGTCAGCAGAAGGGTGGCACGGGCTCAGGACCTGCAATAACACCGGCACAGCTGACTCACGAGCAGCTCTTTTATTCATAAAAAAACCGGCTATAAATAACCCCCCAACAATGAAGAGCTGCTGGGGAGTGTTTTTCCATCCTGCTCTAGGCAGTTAGAGCCCGCACAGAGGATGATTTGCCTAGCACATGGTGATAAGATAAATAGTTGCTGCAGTGACAAGAACAATAAGGGAATTAGTGGCATTTTTTCACTTCCGAGCGCGGTCCCGGCGGAGCTCCGGGAGCAAGGTGAGTTCTGAGCACGTAGGGCAGGGAGGGGTCAGGTGCTGTCAGCCCTCCAGGGCATCCACGAGACTCTTCACTCCTGGGGACAATCCTCAGTGGCGACCTGAAAGGACACTCTCATGGATTTTTTTCACTCTGTTTCTGTTAATTCTCTGAGAGCTAAAAGCCTGCTAGAAACTCTCTGTTCAGGACTGAAAAAATGGTTAGAAATGTTGATCTTAAAAAATCAGGATTCTTGGTTTGTTTATTTTCTTTTTTTTCCCTTTTTTTTCCCCCCCTTTTTTTTCCTCCCCCCCCCCAAGCCTTTCAGCCTATCACTATTAAAGTGACAATAAATTGCACTGCAGTCATATCAGCTAAGCTTTTATTTGTGCTAGGAAGTGAAGGCACGTTCGGGGAAAGACATTCCCTCTCCTTATGAAGCCTGTAATCTAAATAAGCAGGGCAGACATCATGTGATCTCCTTATTTTTTTCTAAAGAAGCTCACCTGGCAGGTACTTGGTTATCAGTTCTCCATGGCAGTGCTGCACCTTGGGATAATTTCGAAAGGAATTACTCTGTGAGTTGGTTTTGGACATTGAACCTAAAGACGTGTGAGGATCTTGGTCAGAGAAGGTGACACTCAAAGTTAAGCAGGGAGGTGACAGCAGGTCACTGAACTCCAGGCTGGTTTTTCCTGGCAGAATTATTGCAGTTGTGTCCATAGCTACAGGGGAGGTGGGAACACCAAAACCAGTGAAAACTACATTTATTTTGTTGCCTCGAGAGCCACAGCAACAAAGGTTTTGGGGATGTTCCCCCAGCCTGGTTTCTGAAACGTGTGAGGTCTGACATCATCCTTCTGCTCCCAAGGGAAGTTTGGGGGGATATGTGGTGGTTCGTGAGGCTTTCACAAGTCTGAGCCACAGGATCCCACCAAGTGCTGAGGGGAGGGAGGCCAGAGCTGTCCCCAGCCCTCCAGCTGAGGGGCTGCATCCCATGTCCCAGCAGAAGGGATGAGGGCTGGCTGGGGCTGAATCTGTGCCAAAAAGGCATCAGAGACCCAAAGCCCAGGCTGTGGCTCAGCTCTTCAGGCTGGAGGCTGAGCTGTTGCTCTTAGAAGGAAAATCTAAGGGTTGTGAGGGTCAGACTGGCCCAGGGCCAAATCCTGGTCACAGATGACCCAGGAGGAATCGCCCCTGTGATGGGAGAGGGAAGCACTTCCAAGAGACTTCAAACCCAGATGAGTTTTGTGATTGGGAACCCCACCCTGTGTGTGACAAAACACGCTCAGTGCTCTTTAGTTACTTGTGTGCTGCCATTTTATTCGTTACAGTTCCCACACCACTGAACAGGAAATCTGGAATTTCACAGCTCTTGGTGAATCACAGTCATTGGGCCTTCATCTTCCACGAGGAACGTGGGCTGGCTCTGATCCTCCCCGAGTCTGCTCCGTTGGGAACAAGCACAGGGTCGTTTCCATGGAATACTCAGGAGCAGGGATAAGATGTTTTCTGGCTTCTTCACATCTAAGTTATCAGTGGAAGGCTTTGCCTGCCATATACCTGCTTTTAGGTATTTATTCCTGTTTGTTTCCTTTTAGACAGGACAATGCAAGTTCCCAAAAGGTGAAAATACCAGTTCTGGCATCTCAGAGAGATGTTCTGGCTCTGGATAAAGGGGAAAAGGATCTGGTTTGGGGAGTATCCTTGCAACAAACCAACTTTACCAATATTTTGTGGCTTGTTGGTAACGTGCTGCTGAACAGCACTCAGAGACTTCAAGCCTGATGATTATCTTCACTTCATGTGCCTGGTGAGGGCTGTGGAAAAAGAGCTGGGATGTTGGATAACTCCAAACCCGTGAGGCAAAAACTCCTCAAAGAGAGAGGGTGGGGGAGGAGCAGAGCTCTCTGTTTTCAAAACATCCCAGAAAAATCTTGGAAGGAGATCATACATCCCATTTGTGCCTTCCTCTCCAGAAAGGAAGACTTTAATCTGCATAAATTAAAACATAAACTGGATAAATAGGCTCCTTATTTGTATTACTGCCCTTCGTGACTGTTTCTTCTTTGCAGGCCCCGTGATGGCCACTGAGAGAGTGAGCAGGTGGATGTTCTGCTCTCACTGAAGGTCGTGGCAGTGAACCCTGGATCCATGGAGTGACTCTGCCTCCATGCTCAGCTGAGCTGGGTGGCACTGGCCATTTTTTGGCCCAGGTAAGGTCTTGTCTGTTGTGAAAGTGCAGAGCTGGAGTGTCAGGAACGAGTAGGAATTGACTGTGAGTTCAGGGAGAATGTGACAGGGCAGAAACCAGGACAGTGGAATCCCTCATCCTCCCAGTGCCTGGTTTTTCCTGTGTGTATAATGTGTGTCCATGGCCTTGCAGGTGACACCAAACCATGTGCAGCTCACCTTCTACTCCCTGTGCTGTGGGATTCTTGTTTTCATGATGTGGATGCAGCTTTTTCTCCTGTAGTTTCAGGCATAACTCAGTTCCTCAGAGTGCTCTCAGCACAAAGGTTGCTCTGCATCACACCAAGATAAGGACCAAGGACACTACACCAAGGACATCACACCTGTTGTCCAAGGGTTACTGAGCAGAGCTGGGACTCGGCTCCTGGACCCAATTTCCTGTTTTAAGATCAACTTGGGAATGTCCCAGCTGGCGCCTGTTGTCCTGAGCCCTTGAGAATCCCTGAGAGCTGCAGTTGTGAGCAGTTCTGAGACTGAGCTGAGGGGGGCAAAGATGCACTTCCCACAACAGCCACTTGAATCATCATTAAAACTTCCACCTGAAGCTTCTCATGTCTCCTTCTCCATCTCTTCAACATGTTCAGTGATTATTTTCTTCTCCACAGGCACAATCATCAGGTAATTATTATTGAACTTGGAGATTCTCTACAAAATAAGGCCATTTCTTAACACATGACGTGTATCAAAATAACACCAATTCAGACATTCAGATATAAAAATGTAAAACCAATCATAGAACTAAAAGAAAAACAATTTTAGAACTAAAAAATGTTGTAGAAGGCGAGGTCTAGATAGTTATAAATCAAAGGCTGCCAACAGCATGGTACAGCCAGTGTTTGAGGTGTCAACCTGAGCTATTGGAGATTAGATTGGGTTCTCTGGACTTCTGAGGGATCTTACACAAATAATGTGATTGCTCTTTTCCCGTTTATGGGATGTAGATAACACTCTTTCCTCAAAGATGCAGAGTGAGGTAAGTACCAGGAAGGTCACAAAGTTCCTGGAATATGGGAGTAGAAAAATGCCCTTGAACTGAGGTTGTGATGTGCAGAGGTTTGGATGTGTAGCAGCTCTGTCTCTGAGTTTTCAATTCAAAGTAGTTTTCATCTGGTTTTGAGAGCTCCAACTGTATCCCAGAGGGTTGGAATGCACAAACCTGGGGGTTTCTGTATGTTAAAGCCCACTAAAAAAAGCAGTTTCCACACTAATATTGTCTCCCTTAATCTAGCAACGTTATGCTAATTTTTATGTAATTCTATTAGGGAAATAAGATTACAAAGCTTTTGTGAAGAGCTGTTTATACTACTTGATATTATTTTAATTACATTCCGATCTCATTTCGTTTAGTGCTTAGTGCTTGAACGCCAAATTTTCAAATTAGAGCAATTTCAAGTAGCATTTTCAGGAATATCTGCAGCATTTCAGATCATTGAAAGGATTTGCTGACTCGAGGTGTTGGCACTGATGAGGTGACAGAAATAGTGGAGCCCTTGTTCAGCAGCAACCTCACACCAGAGGTGTGGCTGACAGGGAAGGTTCCAGGATGCACAAAGGATGGTTTATCTGGGACACTGGGAGAAGAATATTTTATAGGATGTTAAGACATCCACAGGCTTGATCCGTCATTTTGCAGCCCTTTATTTCTATATAATCATTCTTTGCATTTCTATGTGACCACCTGAAATACTTAAAGTATTTCTAGTACATAATTATTGTGTACTAATTGCACACTAACCTGAATACACTTTCATACATTTCAATAGGAGAAAAGAAGCCCTAGAATTTTCCTTTTCAAGCTCCACATTTTAGCCTGAATTTCTGATGTTTTAAATTTGGCAGAGCTATCAGAGCTCACAGATTTCCTGCTCTAGAGCTGGAATTGCTGCTGCAATGATCAGATGTCAGTGCTGCATGTGGAAAGCCCGTGAACTCAGCTGAGCTGCTTGGCAGTATCACAGTATAAAATTGTTACTCATGGAAATTAATCTTTTGTTAGGATGACAGTGAGAAATGAATTAAATCAGAATAAATTCGGACATAACATGGCTTTACCTGGGTAATTGTACTGCTCACCTGAACTGCTCTGCTGGTTAAAATCTCCCTGTTCCCACTGAACCTTGTATTTTGTTCCAGCAGTGCCCTCTGCTGAGAGCATGGAATGTGTGTCCCAAAGGCTTTTTTTCTCCAAGGCTCAAGTATTTTAAATCCAGTTTTCAAAAATCTCAGCCTTTACAAAGATAGAGAAAGAAAAGATATAATGATATTTATGTTGGTTTATTAATGTGCAAGTCACACATTAAATAAACACAAAATATCCTATAATGAGCATGAGTAGTAATGTCTGCTGTTGTTTAGCTACATTCTCATCCAGGAATTAAGGTGGGAAAAAAGGCATTTTCCTAACTGCTTAGGCAGGAGCTGAGGGCCAGGTTGGTGACCCAACACTGATGTTCTTATTTCAGCTCCATCAGCCACACACTCCCCTCTCCAAACCCAGAAAATTCTGCTCTCTGTTTCCTGACTCTCTAATCCTTTATCATCTAATTTATTGGTGAGTTAAAGCTGAAGTCACATTAATTCCATTTTAGACTATCCTTAAAGAATTTTAAACTACTGCTGTGATCATTCATCCTCTCAAGATCTGGCCAGATTTCACTGCTGGCAGAGGTTGTTTTCAGCAGCTCATCCATGTAGCAACAAATATGTTTTCCAGTTTGGGCTGTCCTAGCAACTGAACGGTAATTGGCGATGCCCTGAGGTGGTAACCCAAATATTTAATACCACATGTGGTTAAAGTTTAATCCACTGTCATGATGATGATGATGTGGCAACAGAAGCTGTGCGTCAGGGTCTATTCCCCACCTGGAGAACGAGGTGGCAGCAGCTCTTGTGTGGTGTGGTCTCTCACGGAGTATGGGATGAGTGAAGCCGACCTGGCTGAGGGCTGAAAGGAGGATTTTCCACCATGAATGGATTTCCAAACTGCTCTGCTAACTACACAGACATCTGGAGTCATTCTTTGGTGCTTGCCCTGGGCATCCCCCAGCTGACCATCAACGTGGCGTCCGTGCTCTTCAACTGCACCGTCATCCTCACCCGCCTGGCCACCAAGGACCTGCACAAGCCCATCTCCATCCTCTTCTGCAATTTGGCTGTTTCTGATCTCTTCACCAGCTTCTCTGGCTTTTGGATTTCCACGCTGTTCATCACCAACCCCGACATCACCATCTTTGGGTCCGAGGACATGCTCGCCCCTTACGCCTTGTACACGACGTCCATTTTATCCACCATCTACAACCTGGTGAGCATCGGGGTCGAGCGGTACCTGGCTGTGGCCAAGAGCATGAGGACGAGATTCAGGGTTGCCAGAAACCATTCCATAGCCGTGGTTTTCACCAACTGGGTCCTTGCTTTCTTTCTGGGCTGCCTGCCACTGATGGGGTGGAACTGCCTGCACAGGGAAAAGAGCGTCTCGGTCCTCTACAGCCCGTTCTGCGTCAACTACCTCTTCTTCATCGCCGTCCCCAACTTTGTGGTGGCCTTTATCATACCTCTGTTCACCTACCTCAGAATCATCATCATCCTGAGGAGGAGGAAGCTGAGGATGAAGGCGTGTGGGCAAGCCACCGGCACCTACAAATCGGCTGAGACCCAGGTGGCCAGGACCAGCATCTTCATCTGGCTGCTGGCGCTGATCTCCTACGCCCCGTTCTTCGCCGGGGTCATTTTTGATGCCATCAACCACCGGTGCCACGTCGACCTCTACCCAGGCGTCTACATCTTCAGGAACTGCACGGCCATGCTGATCACCATCAACTGCCTGGGCAACCCCCTCATCTACACCCTCAAGCTCAAAACCCTGGGGGCCAAGCTCAAGGCTCTGAAGTGCCTCTCCACCAACAGCGTCCGAGCCTGTGCCATCGAGCACATCTAGGTGGGGCTACCCCTGCTGCAGCACTGCCTGACCTGCCCAGCGGAGCCAGGGAGAGCTCTGCAGTCACTCCAGATCCAGGGGGATTCAAAAAACACGTGGATGTGGCACTGGGGGGGCACAGTTTAGTGGTGGGATGACGGTTGGACTTGATCTTAGAGGTCTTTTCCAACCGTGTTTCCCGTGATTCCACTCCTGAAGCCCAGGTGCTTCAGCACCCAGCGAGGGGGAGGTGTTGGGGTGCAGAAACCAGCGTGGGCAGCCCTGAGAGGGGGGCTGGACTCTGTGTCTCCCAGAGCCCTCAGCAGCGAGGAGCTGTGCTGCCTGGCTCTCCTTGGGGAAGCGGCTCAGTGTGTGCCCCTGGTCTGTGTTGCCTCCAGCTGGGAGCAGGGGAGCTGTTTTCCTTGGAGATAAAAATAACTCCATTAGCCCTGTTTACTTTGTGCTGCTGCTGCGCTCGCTTCGCTGCCCAGACTCCCATCCCTGTTGTGTGGTTTGTATGGCTTTGAAGGCAGTTAAATGGCTGGAAAATTCTCAGCAGTCTGGGGGAAATTGTCATTTTACTTTCTCATTTACACTCAGTCAAATTGTCTCTTTGACTGTCGGATGAATCTTTATTAACAGGGCACTCAGCCCTGTTTTCCTGGGGTAATTTTAACTGCAGCGTGTAGCTGGATTACATGTTTTTGTGAGACATTTGTGGCTACATCTTTCATATTTCTGCTTATAGAGGCCCACTCGAGTCCATGGCTTGTGAAATTTGTGCTGTTCCAGGTGACAACCTTGGCTGGATCCTTCAGGATCAGAACTGAAGTTGAGTTGCCTGTGCAAAACAAAATAAAAATGTCAAGACCATGTATTTTGTAAAAGAAAAAGGTCTTACTCCCTCTCTCTAAAAAAAAAAAAAAAAAAAAAAAGGAAAGTTGGCTCCTGAATATTTATTATTTATTTAGTAGATATTGTTTCATCAGATCCTAGTGGAGGTGGATGTTTATTCTTAGAAACACAGGGATATGTTCTAGAAGAATCTCAGAGTTCAGACTTCTGATCTCTTGCCTGAACCAAAGCAGGTTTATTTTCTCTTGCCCCAACCAGAAGCCTGGTTTTAACAGATCTGGTGACATCAGCCCACCTTGCTGGTTTTTTAAAGTGCTCTCAGATGCTGCTCCGTGGTGTTTCATCAGTGGACACCAATAAAGTGGCATCAATAATCCACACAGTGATGATGTTGTCATGTTCATCACACCCACAATCCAACCCAAATCAGCCCTTCCAGCACAGACTGGAGTTTCCAGGGATTTATTTCCAGTTTCTTTGCTTTGATGTTGTTGTTGTTCTTTCCCAACTTCAAAAGGTTTGAGTGAACTGAGGGAAAATCCCAGATGTTTTGGGTAAGAAATGGGTTCACCCACTAATGGAAGAACTGGGAAGTGCCATCACATTAACAAATCTGATACTCAGTGGTTCCCTTTATTGCTGACAAACCCCTCTCCTGTGCTGCTTCACACTGAAGAACTCCAGGAATATTTCTTTTGTCTGAATTGAAATTCAGATATTTAAGGAAATGGATGGCCCTAAGTGACACAGAATTAAAATGAATTATTTAAATGGATAATGTAACTCAGGCAAGATAATTTCTTTTCTCCATTGTTTTTTTTGTTTTATTTTGGAGCACTGCTGTTCTATCAGGGACTTCTGGGAACTCCACCACCCCCAGCCCCAAGAAGGGTCTGGCTGGAACCTGAACATCTGTATTTCACCCTCAACAACAGGAGGTTCAATCAAAACTTCCCACAGGGCAGATGGTGAAGATAAACCCGGGGTGGTTTTTGATGGGACATTTGCTATACGGTGTAATTTTTTTATCCACTTCCATATTGACATTGGGAAGGTGACAGGTCAGGAGCAGAACACTTGACTGTCACAGCCCATGGCAGTGATTGTCACTGGGAAAGCCAAGGGGACAGCTGGGATCCTGCCAGAGCCCTCCAGAGGGTCGGAATCTCTGTAACTCTAGATATCTCTCTCTATATATATAGATGTATCTGTGTATATGTCTATATCTCTCTGTATCTCATATCTCTCTATATCTGTACATCTGTCTAATCTCTCTGTCTTTCTCTCACCCTCTCCACTTCCCTCCTTCTCTCCCCCCATATATAATCTCTATCTAGAAATATATATCTATATCTGTACCTCTCTATATATCTGTAGATCTCTCTCTCTATATATCTGTAGATACCTATATATATCTATAGATTTTCTATATATATCTATAGATCTCTCTATCTCTTTATATCTCTCTAGATATCTCTCTATCTATATCTACTGATATCTCTAGGCATCCACATTTTCCATCTCTATATATTCCCGGTCCCCGGGGCGGGCGGGGCCGCGCTCGGCGCTGGATTGGCGAGCCTGGGGGGGCGCGCTCGGCGGTAGATTAGCGAGCCTGGGGAATGCGCTCGGCGGTGGATTAGCGAGCCTGGGGGGGGACGCGCTCGGCGGTGGATTAGCGAGCCTGGGGGGATGCGCTCGGCGGTGGATTAGCGAGCCTGGGGAGATGCGCTCGGCGGTGGATTA